TAACCACACCACATACGTGACAAATCTTCCCAAATCACGATGGACGTGCGTCTCTTTAAAGGTTTCCACAGGATCACCCCATTCTTGCAAAACATGCTGCTCGGAATATTTTAAAAATAAACGAGCGCAAAGAAAACGAATCAAACGCCAACGCAAATAATACCACATTTTTCTTTGTCTTTTTTTAAAAAATAACTTTAATGACAACTCACTATATACACTTTTTTTCCTCACTCTTAAGCAAATACAACTCTAAATGCTGGGCAGCAAAAGATGGGTCTAAAAATATGATGTTCTCGCATATAGTCATTGTCTTCATCATAATATCGAGTGAGTTTCCTGACTGCATTGATTTCATGACCCACATGATAGCCAGTCAATAAATGACCATTATACGCCTCGGACGATGGACGATGTATATTAACCACAAGATATCCAAAAACATGTACTTTGTAAAATGGTAGATCGGTTCGAGGAAACATGCCTTGATGACTATGTTGTACACGATATAGTTTTCTTGTACCAAACAGTTTACATTTCTTGCAACAAAACTTAAAGCGACTATGAACGTTATAATCTATTATAAATTTAATTGCAGGAAGATCATGTTCGTTAAACCGACGCATTTTCGTCAACTCATTTCCACAATCCCAACAATGATGTTTTCCATAGTCGAATGGAAACAATTGTTCATGCAAGGCTTTCCATCCTATCTCATTTCGTGCGTGAACCATCGGACGCCAATAAATACGTTCTTGAATAAAATAAGGTAACTTCTTCCAAGGTAATGTCTCATCAAAAATGGACTCCATGCTCAAAGGCAGTGAACGAGTTGGATGGTACTGCTCTTGTATAGTAGACAAAGGGACTTTTGCGTTCGCCGCCGCCGCCGCCGTCTTCGCGCGCGCCGTCTTCGCGCGGAGCCCCCCAACCAGTGCTACCTCCTGTTTTCATCAGATTTTTCCGTTTTTCCTCCATGTCTGCTTTCAAGTTGGTAAAGTACTGCTGGAAGGCCATCTTTTTGCAAGCTTCTTTGTGTTCTTGCGCTTTTCTTTTGGCTTCTTCTCGACTAGTTGGCACGGGTAACTGCTTGAATTCAAATCGCATTTCATCTTGCCAGGCTGCATTCTTGTTGGTAAAAGGTTGATCAAACCACTGGAAGTAAGGGCATTTCAGCTCTTTCTGCCAATTGTTGCAGCTCAAGTACAAGCGATTGGGGTTGGTTTCCGATTGACTCAGTTTCAGCACAGGAGTGAAATGGCAGAAACATTGCAGAATGTCCCAACATTCCATCACATCATGACTGGGTAGTGTGTAATGCAGGGCTTGTAGATAAGCATCGATGTTACTGGCAAATAGGAACACGGGACAATCAATGTCGGGGCAAAACAACACTTCTTGTTTCTCAATCTCATCGGGTGGTTTCTTACGAGTGAGAGGTTTCAAGTGGAAAGGACACGTTAAGAAATCCACCACTGCTAAAGGCGCTCGAGGTGGACTCTCACTTTGTGGTCCAGGTGGACTCCCAATTTGAGGGATCATGTCCACTTCAGCCAACAAGGATTGAATGGCCAGATCTTTTTCTTGCTCTTCGACCCACTGCCCTTCTTTCATCGCATAATTTTTCTCCACCACGATAGGTTCGGGTGTTTCTCTGACAGGATCGGTCTTCAAAGCAGGAGAATCTGTTTCCCATTTGGGTTTTTTCTTCTTTTTTTCTTTGGAGTCAGGTTTATCTTTCTTGGTATATTTTCGTTTCACGGGTGGAGCCTCGACTGGTGACTGCATGATGCAACTGATGAAAATTACGAGTTGCTCCGAGACTATATAAGCGCGATCACCTGATCTTCAACCAATCATTTTTGTTTCAACGCGCTAGCGGAACAACTGCATTGACCGGTTTTAACCCGTTTGTACTGCATTGACTGGTTTTAACCTGTTTGTACTGGTTTCACTTGTTTTTTAAAAGAAACCTGTTTAACATGTTTTTCAAAACAAGTATATTACTAGTGATCCTCAATCATTTCTTCATTCTAACCATGGCTTCTTCCAATCCTGCAGAGCCTTCAAAAACATGGACACATGTCAGGAATTTTGTGGAAAAAAAAGACGACTTTGCAGAAGAACCCATGGAACATCCAGCGGGTGAAAAATATACCATTGTGACCGGTGGAGCCCAAGGAGCAGATGAATATGCTGAACGACTGGCTTTGGCGTATGAATGTCGGTTGGATATCAAAATAGGCCCTAATCATCCCAGAGCTAAATGTCTTAGCCCCATTCAACCCACTGAAGCTGATCTTTATCATGCTCGTGAATCCATCAAACGAGCCAACCAAACGCTTCAGCGTAAAAGTCCTATTGGTACAGCTACTTATTTTGAAGAATTAATGGTTCGAAATTATTTTATTGCTAGACAATCTTATGCTCTGTATGCCTTTGGTTACTTAGACGCCAACAAGACAACGGTCCAAGGAGGAACGGGTTGGACCGTTCAACTGGCTTTGGATATGGGGAAACGCGTGTACCTGTTTGACTTGACGGACAACCAGTGGTACGAGTTTATCTATTATCATCTACAAAAGGGTTCGTATGTGAAAAAATGTCAGTTTCAACTCTTGAAAAGTGCTTTTTCTCTCACTCTCTATGATCATGTGGGGATTGTAGGATCGAGACAGTTTACAGAACAAGGTAAAAAGGAGATGAGAGCTCTTTTTCAACGTACCTTTTTAAGATGAACAAGAAAGTTCATTTTTGTCCACAAGTCGAGGTGTATCAACCCATGGGGCAAACCATCCTGTTAAAAAAACAAGCTTTACGAGATGAATCGACCAATCCGGTGGTCTCCTTTTTTCAACAAAGACGTATAAAACTACGACAACTCATGCATGAACGTCATTTGGTCAGAAAAATTCGACGCGCAGAACGAGCTCAAGCGAATGAAAGATTATTACAAGACTCTTCACCAGAGTGATTTTCCCTCTTGGGAAGATTACATGCTAGAAAGAATCCAACGAGGTTTGGCCGCAGGGTATACGTTTGACGAGTGTTATACGCATTGGTTGGAAGATTTTTCCAACACCTTGCATCGATTGAGTGACGAACTGCATGGACAAACTACTGAGCCAACATCCGCTCAGTAATTCTTCGACTTACAAAGAGTTTATTCGTGATTTGATTCAAGATGCTATTTCTAATCAAGGATACACCTTTGACAATTTAAATTACGAATTGTATCGGCTGAACACTCAAATCTACCAAGAGTTCACCAAGGAACTGATTGCTACTCATGTATATACTTCAAGATAAAAATTTACAAGATAAACTCTCGACCACTGGTTGGGCCAGAGATTGGGTGTGGAGTGTGGCTTATGTGATGATTCAAAAATTTGGTATGGATAAAAATGTACACTTAATGCCTCCTAGTGTGGAAGCCTGGAGTAAACAATGGTATACTTACAGAAGTCAACTTGCAGATACTCTGATGGAACTGCTACCCCAACTCACCTTTCATGACATTCATGAAGAATGGCAATGGAAAATGGTGGAAAAACATCATCCCAGTCCGCCAGAATGGGGAGGCAACATGGACTTTTGTTGGAATTTTATGAGACCCAAAGATTCTGTCATTGAAGCTTTATTGTGTTTATTTTCTTTCAATTTAAACAAATATGGTTCCTATGATTATGAATTCTTGGGATTCACGCATCAAGATATTGATCAATTATTTCATTGGCAACGAGATATTCAATAAAACACCTTGTCGAACTCAATATATTGTGTGTTGTTTTTTAATGGTACAAAACGGGAACCTCCTCACCTGCATCCCTTTCAGCCACATAAAGAAAATCCTTCCCATCTCACTACATGAGTAAACTCATGCATTTTTTTGAAAATCAACGCAGATTCTAAAAGAGAAATCGGTCAATGTCTCTTTCCCGATCGACCGCCATTTTGTTTTCTTCTAGGGGTGGCGTACATTTTTTTTAATGATTGTTTGCTTGTTGGAAAGAAAAAACCACCGAGTTGTACTGATTTACTAAACGTGAAGCTGTTTGACTTGGAAAAAGAAGAAACCAAACTCATCTCGCATAACTCAAGTTTTCCTTCTCCGTGCGTGAATTGAACTCCCATCTCTCCGTGTGACTCCACATGGTGCAATACGAGGTAATCGAGAGTCGCCAGTTCAATTCACGCACGGAGAAGAAAAACTTGAGTACATGCGAGCCTGGACTTGCGGTCCGAGTTGATATATATACAAGGTCGAGTGAAAGGGAACGCGCGCAAACTATTGACTACTTAAATTTGCATAGGTCGTCTTAACTTATCCGTAGTAGTGTAGGTGGGATCGCGCGCAGTGAATACAGATCCAGAGGTCATGAGTTCGAGTCCGACCTGAAACTTCTTTCTTCTTCTTCTTCTCTCTAAAAAAAAAAAAAAAAAAAAAAAAAACCTAGAAGAAGAACAAAAAAAAACTAAGAACAAAAAAATTCCTAAGAAAAAAAAATCCTAGAAGAAAAAACAAAAAAACCTAGAAAAAAAAACCCAGAAAGAAAAATCCTATAAAAAACACAAAACTCGGGAAGGAAGAAACAAAAAAATAGAAGCAGAAAAAAACCGAGAAGAAAAAACTCTAGAAAAAAAATTAGAAGAAAAAAAAAACCTAGAAGACGAAAAAAAAACCCTAGAAAAAACTGGTTTCAACATGGGCTTGAAAAAATTTTGATTTTTTTTAAAATTTAGTTCAAAACCTGTTTTAAAAAGTAATTTAACCTGTTTCCAAACCTAGTTTGATATCTGTTTTTAAACAACTGGTTTCAAACCGGTTCAATCTAGTTGTCCACCAATCAGAGATCGTGGTGTATCACGTGATTTGCTCTATATAAGTCGGCGTCAAGAGCTGCAAACTTCAAATCGTCGAGGTTTTCATACAAGTCAAAATGAAAAGATCTTGGGAGTGGAGTTCCGACGAAGATGACGACGACCTTCTCTATAGAGCGATGGAAAAGTGGGAGAAAACGGGACAAATTGGAGGTGCTGCTGCTGCTGCTGCTGCTACTCCCCTGTTTGCGTTTCAGATGGATATAGTTGGTCCTCGAAAAAATTGGAAAGACACAGTCAACCAAACGCAGTTTCGCGCCAAACTGAAGCAACTACGCAACGCAGTGGACGGAGATGATATTGGGGTGGAGATAATGAACGCCTTACAGGTGGTCATAGAGGAAGAATTGCGCAGAGAAAAAAGAAATGACAACGATTTTGTCAGTTTCAGTATTTTAGCCCAAGGCTTCAACCATGCCTATCAGAGTATAAATTTTACGGTAAAAGAATTTTTACAAGGGTCCTTGCGATTAGATGAACTTTTGGAACAGTTGGCGGGAAAATTAAATAGCAATGAGTCCTTTCAGCACAATCAATCATTTGAAGTCAATGTGGTATTTGTCAAGACACCGCAACGTGGTAGTGGTAAAAAAAACAGAAACCCGGGTATGCGATGTCTAGATAATGAGAATAAACGTAAACGATGTATAATTCCTATCAGAAATAATGACAATTTATGTTGTCCCAGAGCAATTGTTACCATGATTGCTCATTGTAGACGAGAGGAGTCCAATGATGCCTCATTTCATTGGCGCTACATGAAAGAGGGAAAGGCGGTTCAGGAACATGCTGCCCGTGAACTTTGCCAACAGGCTGGTGTAAATCCTGGCCCGTGTGGATGGGACGAATTGCACAAATTCCAAGAATATTTAAAACCGACGTATCAATTAATAGCTATGTGCCGAACAAAACCCTTCTTTCCCATATACAAGGGTCCGCCTGCCTCAAAGCAAATTTGCTTACTAAAATCAGATGATCATTACGACGGATGTACCTCGTTCTCTGCCTTTGTAAACAGGTCTTACTGGTGCTCGCTATGCAATAGAGGTTTTAATGTGAACGATGCCAAGAACCACCCGTGTGAAGGGCGCTCCTGCCATTCGTGCAACCGAACAGATTGTCCCGATTACAAACGAGATGGACAAGCCACAAACATCTGTGATTGGTGCAATTGCCGCTTTTATGGTGACAATTGTTTTCAGCATCACCTCACGACAAAGCAATGTCAGACCCATAAGACGTGTCTGAAATGTTATGCCGAATATCATGTTATCAAAGGCAAGCGTCATCGGTGTGGATTTACCACATGCCCTTCTTGCAAGCAAGTGGTACACATGCAAAGCCACAAGTGCTTTATACAGCCTCACGTAGAGAAAGAATCCCAACCCCAAATGGATGAAGAAGGAAACGAAAAACAGCCACTTCCTCCACCCTTGTACATTTGGTCGGATATAGAGGCCATGCAAATGGCCAACCGAGAATTTCAACCAATAATGATTTGTTACAAGACCAGTGAAAGCGAGAACATTGTCACCCACAAAGGAAAGGACTGTGTTTGTACGTTTCTGCATGACTTGGATGAAGCCACGGACATACCAAACGATGACCGTGATAGACAGGTTATTGTCATATTCCACAACCTCAAAGGGTTTGATGGTGTATTTCTTATCAATGAACTGTACAAGCAAAAGCGTACCGTCGAAAATCAGCTAACCATCGGTTGCAAAGTGCTGGCATTTCAGAGCGGCTCTCTCATGTTCAAAGACTCGCTATGTTTCATACCATTTCCGCTAGCCGCTTTTCCGGCCACTTTCAACTTACAAGAACTCAAAAAAGGGTTTTTTCCACATGCATTTAACCTTCCCCACCACCAAGACTATGTGGGCCAAATACCAAGTATCGAGTTTTTCGACCCCGAAGGAATGAGTGACAAGAAAAAGAATGAGCTTGAACAGTGGCACGCAAAGCAAGTACGAGATAATGTGCAATATGACTTTCAAAAAGAAATGCAAGAATATTGTGCATCTGATGTGCAGTTATTACAGGCCGGTTGTGAAGCGTTTGCCGCCGAATTTGAGACAGTAGTAGGGTTCAACCCCTTTTCTAAATGCGTGACCATCGCGTCAGCATGTCATTTGTATTGGCGCAAACATTGTCTTGAAGAAGATACGATTGCTATAGAACCACTAAAAGGCTGGAGGGGGGGAAATGTGAACCATTCGGCCAAAGCTTTACAGTGGCTTTATTACGAGGAAGATCGTATCCCAAAAAAAGGTGTCAGTGCAGACAGAATTAAACATGCCAGAAATGGAGGGGAACAGCGTGTCACAACACCAACAGATTCCTACTTTGTTGACGGATTCAATCCTGCAAGCAACATGATTTATGAATTTAATGGGTGCTTCTGGCACGGCTGCAAAACCTGTCACAGCAACAATCGACACTGTAAGCATGCAACAAATCCCGACCGAACCATGGAAGAATTGTACAGAGCGACTCTTGCTAAGGAAGATGCGCTAAGAACAGCAGGCTATGAAGTTAATGTGATGTGGGAATGCCAATGGGATGAGTTATGCAAGACCAATCCTTTTGTCAAGAACTTCATATCCGACCTAAAATTGGTGGAACCTCTCGAACCTAGACAAGCATTTTTTGGGGGCAGAACGGGAGCGGTCGCGCTGCATGCCATAGCTCAAGCAAATGAACAAATCAGATATATTGATTTTACATCGTTATATCCATGGGTGAACAAGAACGCATCCTATCCGATAGGCCATCCCTCGATCTTCACCAACCCGCGCAGTCAAAACATCGAAGATTATTTTGGGCTGGCCACCATAGATATCGTTCCACCCGCGGGTTTATTCCACCCAGTCCTGCCCGTCAGAAGTGGGAATAAGCTCACCTTCCCACTTTGCAGTACGTGTGTCAAAATAGAGCAAATGAAACCCATGCTGTCGAGAAGTAGTACTTGCTGCCACACGATCGAAGAACGAACCTTAAGAGGGACATGGTGCACTCCCGAAATCCAGAAAGCAGTGGAAAAGGGCTACAAAATTATCAAAATTTATGAAGTATGGCACTTTGCCCCAAACCAGCGACGAGAGGGATTGTTTGGAAAATACGTGAACACGTTTCTAAAATTAAAACAAGAAGCGAGCGGTTGGCCAGTGGAAGTGGGAGATGACCCTGAAAAACGTCAAGATTACATTGCGAATTATCTCCGACATGAGAACATTCAATTACACCCCGACAACATTGAGAAAAATCCAGGCAAACGAACTCTCGCAAAACTAATGATGAATTCATTTTGGGGCAAGTTTGGGGAAAGGCAGAATAAACCCAAAACAGTCACCATCATGCAACCATCGCAGTTGTACCCCTATTTGTTCTTGGACAATTTCTCACTACGAAATCTGCGCATCTGCACGGACGATGTCCTCGAGGCAGTGTTTACGGAAGTGCAAGGTAACATAGTACCTAGCAACAAAACCAATATTTTTGTGGCCAGCTTCACCACTGCCTGGGCCAGATTACGTTTGTACGAAGCTTTGGACATAATGCAAGAGCAGGTACTTTATTATGACACGGACTCCGTGATTTACAAATGGAAACCCAATGGGCCAGAATTACCTCTGGGGCAATACTTGGGACAATTCACCAATGAATTGGACGATCCGAGTGATTACATTACAGAGTTTGTTAGCGGTGGAGCTAAAAATTATGGCTACAGAACTCACAAAGGAAAAACAGAATGTAAAGTGCGTGGATTCACCCTGAATGTGCGAGCCAAAGAGGTCCTCAATTTTGAGACATTGAAAAAAAACATTCTCAGCGAACTTGATGACCCACAGGAAGAAAGACGTGTTATCAACGTAATAAATCCCAACCATTTCAAAAGAGACAGCACAAACAAGTCAATAAAACTTGTAAAACAAGTAAAGCAATACGGCCTTGTCTTTGACAAGAGGGTGATTGATCCGGAAACTAAAATTAGCTATCCCTTTGGGTACAACAGAGTGTTAACAGAACCCGATAAACAGTGAACTTTTATTAGAGTTGTAAAAAAGAGTTCTTGACAGCAATCGATCCTGCGATCGCCACAGCGCGAGCGCGCTCACAGACATTTTTTAACTTTTTAAAACAAAATGGGCGTAACGTGACTAGGACGTTGCACACGTCCCGCTTGTAACCTAGGCTCGAGATTATATTAAATCAGAAAAAGTGATTTTTTTTATTGGTCATACAGTGTGTTTTTCTTGACTTCCGATCGCGCGGGCACTTCCGATGGCCAGGGGAGCAGTTGTGAGGTCGCTTCCGGTTGCAATGTCACTTTCGGAGGACTGGGGAGTCACTTCCGGTTGTGATGTCACTTCCGATTGCAAGCTCACTTCCGGGGGTCTGGGGAGTCACTTCCGATTGCAAGCTCACTTCCGGAGGGTCTGGGAGTCACTTCCGGTTGTGATGTCATTTCCGGTCACGTGGTCACTTCCGGGGGGTCTGGGGAGTCATTTCCGGTTATGATGTCACTTCCGGTTGCAAGGTCACTTCCGGGGGACTGGGGATCAGTTAAGGGAGATGGGTCACGTGTCCGTTTGACGTCATAGATTGAGTCACTTCTGCTAGCAGGCAATCACCCTTCAGCTGTCATGACGTCACAACAATCGCATCACTCACTGGGATTTTTCGTGACTCTTACATGAAGTACCATCTAATTTTAGTTAGTTTTATGATGTCATTGAAATGCTGGCTTCTGATTGGTCGAGAGCTGTCACGTGACCTAAATACTCGATTCTGATTGGCTCTGGGTTATATTAACCAGTATTACTACTTGGGAGTTTTCGCTAGGCTTACTTTTCAACTCGGTCTTCAATGCCTCGATTTCTGCCCTGAGCTCCTGTAACTCTGCTTTGGCCTTCTGCTGACCGAGCTCTTCTTTCCGGCAGGTGTTTTCCCTGGGGATTCACAAGGTGGCTCTACACCTTGACCAATCTGAGTTACAGATGTTGGCTTCACCTCAGATTGTCCCTTAAGCTTGCGACTCCTTTCCTTTTAGGCAGAGACAGCAACATTCAGCTGGAGAATAAGTTCTTCATCTGCAACCCGTGGATTGTTCAGGTAAGGGCGCATTTTGTTTTGGTAAGAGGTGAAGCTTCTGTGATGGCTCAGACTATTTCACCCAATATGGTCATTTCATGGGCTAGTGGTAATGGGGGATTACTCAATTTTGTGAGACCATAAAAAAATGCTCTGTGGTAGGACCATAATCCATGCAAGTTTCCATCAAGGGGCTTAAAATGTTTGCAAATGCTCTAGTGACAGCAAAAAATTCGACATCGATATTAACGGATGCTTGCAGTACATCTAAAGACAGTCTTGTGCATCAGTCAATTCTAACTTCAATCCCCAGGATTCCGTGGGGAATTTTAGGGTGATCCCTGGTTTTGCACTGCACATCTCTTAACTGCGCATAACAGGCCGCCTGTGAAAAAGAGCATCTGAAGTAACATTAAAATGACGTTGACTGCAGAGGAACGCTATCGGGATTTTCGCTTGCGGTTGTTTTTTCCGAGGTGAGAATCAGTGTGCTGGGAATGTGCATAAGGTAAACAGTACGCATGTTGCTGAGTTCGACTTCCTCACAGAGGAGTTGAGTGGATGTTAAACTTGTGCTAACTCTCTTTGATTTTCATTTAAGCGCCATCTTTATCACATTGTGTCCTAACTGTGATACACATACATACGTACATACATACATACATACATAAAACTTTATTTCATCTCAACTTTCAGAGTAGCCAAAAATAGGCTAGTATCTCCGAGAAACAAATAAAATCCTAAAATGAAATAAACCATGGTGTACACTAACTAGAGAAAATATTTAACTCTTAATACAATTAATTAATTTATCTGTATCGCCGAATTGTTAAAATAAAGTCATGCAAAGACGAAAGGGTTCTCGGTTTGTCAGGCAATGCTTTCCAGAACTTAGCAGCGGTGTAACTATAAGAATTTCAGCCATAAGTAGTAGTAACGGAAATCTCGATGTAAATTCGGTAAAAACGGATTTTTAATGCTTCCTTCCTCCTTCCACATACATTCCATTTTGAAACTTGCCCCAGTCCTCTTAAAAATAGGGGAACATGCATCACGGGCACATTTTCTGCAGCTCTACCGCAAAAACGAGTATGGTGACCCCCATTTTGTATTTCATGATTTTAATAAGAACAGTGTTTCCTTTCAATGAGAAAAAAATTGGCATGTATCTATGTTCAGTTTTTTGGCAATTTTAAGTCTACTTTAGCACAAATGAAAAACAAGGACTTTAAAAGGCTGGTACGTAAGTGGATAAACAATACATTTACGTCAAATTCTGTGCGATATCACATGCTTCATCGAAAAAATCTCTCCTTTTTGTACAGTTTTGGTCTGGGCGTGGTTTTTGTTAAAGGGTCCTAAATAGCCGTGTTTGTCAACATTAGGGAGCTTAAGCACCAGGCGTTTTTGAGTCACGAACGTCAACAGGAAGTCCAAAGTTGCGTTTCGTACTTACTACGCATGTCTTGCCGTCCGTGACTTGTCGTCACCGACCTGAAAACCCCACGCTTGCCGTCCGTGCTGGTCACCGATGCCATGGACTCGGGAAAAGAAGAACATGCTATGTAAGTAATCGGTGTGTCCTTAGTTTTCTTTCTGTACCGTAGAGGATTCTTATCTTGCATGTTTGCATTTTCTACATTGTTTTTGTACTCCAAAAGAGTATATTTTTCAGGAGCAAAACATGTAGTTCCTAACAACAACTTGTTCAGACTCAGGTGCGAGTTGTTTACATTTTTCACTCGGCAAAAATACACTTCTTTGCCGACCACTGCTTTCTGCTTTCATAGTTCAAAGAAGTTACAAACATTTTTTTGTCCAGCTGTGATTATTGTACATGCAAATATGTGGTCAAACATTTCAATGGTTAACTTGTACATGTTTATCCTGTTTGTTTGAGTGGAGCTCCAGCTCAAAGTAATTAATTTGCCTTGGTTTTGTTTGCAAAAAAGAGATTCCCCTATGGAGTGGACTGAAAGCCACGATGTGGCTTTATGCAAGGAGGTGCTCGTTCAGAATGCCTTCCTGGCCAGAAAAAAAAACCTTCAGCGAGCCGCAATTTGGCAGAAGATAGCTGATGAGCTGGTGTCCTTGAGCCGTCCAAAGTTTAAGGTAACACTCATTAAAAGATCTGTCCAAGACAGACTGTTGTTGATTATCACCAAACACAAAAGAAGAATGGCCACAGAGAGAAGAGGAAGTGGAACTAGTCCTGAAATTTCAGAGCTTGACAAACTATCGGAGAACGTTGTGGAAAAGGAGAAATGTTACGAACAGCGACGAGAAAGTGAAGGTAAAATCACTTGAAACCAAGGAGGTTTACGCTGAAAATATATATTCTTCCATAATTAAGACGAATCTTCCGTGATGACGTAGACTTATGTTCTTTAGGCTGCATTCATGATGTACACCACAGTGGAGCAAAGGCAAATTTAAGGGGATGTTTTTTAACGAAAATGGGGGTCATGTTAAAAAAAGTGCTGTAGGCATTAAGAAGGGGGGTGGCAAATCTTTTGAATCTTGAGGATTTGTAACATTACAAGAGACAAAGTGAATTAAGTTAGAACCATTAGTTACATGCAGTACTCGTGTATAGTAACAAGTCCTCCTGAGTCCTGCTATCTGCATCACCATGATCGACTTTATCTTTACTGGCTCCCACTGGTAATATTATGGATTTCCTCATTCTCATTAAATCAGTCATTATTGTGTTCATTCTCATCTCAATCACCATCGCAACCATCAAACTCAACCCAACCTTCTTATTTTTAAAGGTAAAGCACATATTAAGTATTTGTCAGGCCATCTTGACTTAACTCATAATTTGCAAGTAAAATTGTTATCATTGTTGTTTCTTTTCTTTAAAAATAATTCCACAAATAACTTATTTTAAAATAGGGGATGCAGATTGAAAGAAGCAGGAACTAGACAAGGCAAAGGGGGAGGAGGCAAGGTATACGGCAATGAAAACACTTCTGAAACGAAAAGAAAAAGAAAGATGGGTCTGAAGTAGAACCAAAAAGAAGGCGATCTGGCTCAGAAAGAGTAGAGTATCTATGCGAAAAAAGTGAAAGAGAGGCGTCAATTAAGGAGAGAGAGTTTGAGCTAGAACAAAGAAAACAAGAGGAAGAACGAAAGCATCATGAAGGGTTGCTGCTGCTTATGCAACCGCAACAGCAGCAGCAACAACAACAGCTTCAAATGATGCTTTCTCAACAAAACCAAATAATGATAACTTTGCTAGAGAAATTTGCGTCAAAGAGCTAAAACGATTCGGTTGGTTCTTTCCTGTTGATTGATTGATTGATTGATAAAGAGGGCTTTTATAATCATTTTTGTACTTTTGTGCCAGACTTTTGTTGTCATTTGGAATTCGTCCATTAAATGTTTATTTATTACATTTAAGATGATATATTGAGATGAAAAATCTTGATTTGGGAACCTTCTGTTTTGCTTTTATTAATTATTGTGTCAATGACAAAATCTGGCTTTAAAGATGCAGCAGTATTGTGATGTTCTCACTACACATCAAGGTCAAACTGTCTCCAACACCACAACCTAACTGTAATGTTGTAGTCAATCGGTCTGTAATGCTACATGCAAAATTGTACAGACCTGTAATAGTATCCAACTATTCCCCGAACGGGAGGTGAATAGTGGTGGATATATATACCGAGACCCGACCTTACAATGTCACCAAAAACCCACTCCACTGATGTTCTTACTTTGCTCATTGATTCATTAAAGGCCTCCATGGCAGGCAAAAACCTTTTCCCGTTATAAGGTGGCTGCAAGTGAACCCGCACAGAGTACGCTGGAACACCATATAGAGACATACGTTGTCTGCCTGTGGAAAATCTTTCAAGGTCATTAAGCAGGTGAGACTCTCCAAACATCCAAGCATCATGTCGCTTACCCTCTGCAATGAGGACAAAACATATATACAGTT